CCAATGTGACCGAGTTGCGTGGCTTCCTGGGATTGACCGGGTATTACCGGAAGTTCGTGCAGGGATACAGTATGATCGCGAGGCCTCTGACGGACTTGCTGAAGAAGGGGGGGTTTGGTTGGTCACCACAGGCAGAGGAGGCGTTCCAGAAGCTGAAGCAGGCGATGTCCATAACCCCCACCTTGGCCATGCCGGATTTCTCGAAGACGTTCGTGATTGAGGCCGACGCGTCTGGCCGCGGTATTGGGGCAGTGCTGTCTCAGGATCGACATCCTATTGCTTTCATGAGCAAGACACTACCTCCTTCGAAGGAGGCCTGGTCGACATATCAGAAGGAGATGCAGGCTATTATCACAGCAGTACAGATGTGGAGACCATATTTGCTGGGCCAGAAGTTTCACATCTATACAGATCATCAGAGTCTGAAGCATCTCCTAGAGCAGAGGGTGTCGACGCCGGACCAGCATAAGTGGATTGCGAAGCTACTGGGGTATGACTACGAGATTCATTACAGACCAGGACCCACCAATGTGGTGGCCGACAGCCTATCCAGGCGTCCGGGTGGGGAGGTTCTCATGGCAGTGACCGGGCCGGTGCCGGAGTTTTGGGATGAGCTCCGTACATCTTTGGAGACCAGTTCTTATCTGCAGAGCTGCCGGGACATTGCTGTGAGCGACGAGCCGGGTCGCTACCAGTTCAGACAGGGGCTGGTCCTTTTCAAGGGTCGGGTGGTCCTTCCGCCGGGGTCAAACCTGGTCACGACTGTGCTGATGGAGTTTCATGACTCGCCGCTGGGGGGTCATTCGGGCGTGGAGCGGACCCTACGGCGGATTCGGGCTCATTTCTACTGGCCTCGCATGGCGGACGACGTGAAGAGCTATGTAGCGTCCTGTGACACCTGTCAGAGGGTGAAGTTATCTCATCTCAGACCTGCAGGGTTGTTGCAGCCATTACCGGTGCCGGAGCGGGTTTGGGAAGACATCAGCATGGATTTTATAGTGGGACTTCCTCCCTCAGGTGGCAAGACGGTGTTGTTCGTGGTGGTGGATCGCCTGACGAAGTATGCTCACTTCATGCCTTTGGCTCACCCGTACACGGCAAAGGCGGTGGCTGAGCAGTTTGTATCAGGAGTAGTACGGCATCACGGATTTCCTCGATCTATTGTGAGTGATCGGGATTCAGTCTTCTTGAGTCACTTCTGGCAGGAGGTCTTTGCTATGGCCAAGACCGCGCTGAAGATGAGTTCGGCCTATCACCCGCAGACGGATGGCCAGACGGAGATCGTGAACAAACATCTGGAGCAGTATCTCAGGTGTTTTGCCCACCAGCAGCCCAAGAGCTGGTTGGCCATGATTCCATGGGTTGAGTTGTGGTATAACACCACCTATCACAGGGCTATTCGGATGACTCCCTTCGAGGCTCTATACGGGCGAGCTCCGCCGTCTCTGGTGCGATACAAGGTGGGTGATAGTTCGGTGGATGCTGTGGACAGGTGGCTGGGGGCGAGGGATGAGGCGCTTGAGCAGCTGCGGAGTACGTTGGCGGCAGCCAATAACAGGATGAAGCAGTTAGAGGATGCGGGTAGGCGGGAGGAGGAGTTTGAGGTGGGCGATTGGGTGCTGTTGAGACTGCATCCCTATCGACAGGCCTCGGTCTTCAGGGGCGCCTATCAGAAGCTGGCGGCACGTTATTTCGGGCCCTACGAGATTCTGCAGAAGGTCAACCCAGTGGCCTATCGTTTGCAGCTGCCGGCAGAGTCTCGCATTCATCCTACCTTCCATGTTTCATTGTTGAAACGTTACAGGGGAGCGGCAGACAGAGTTGAGACGACAGCTCCGCCGGTCAGTGCAGATGGTGATCTTGAGCTGGAGCCGCTGAAGGTGCTCGAGACCAGGTGGGTGAAGAAGAAGGGTCGACTGGTGGAGGAAAGCTTAGTGCTTTGGAGGCATTTGGAGCCGGAGGACGCGACTTGGGAGGAGTCGGGCGAATTGCAGCAGAAGTTTCCGTACTTTGACCTTGAGGACAAGGTCAGACTTGAAGAGGGGGAGGATGTTAGAAACCGGCGGGTTGGGCCGGTTGGGTGAGGGAGTGGCAGTTTCGTTATTTTCATTATTCAGCTTTTGTATTTAAGAGGAGAGAACACTATTCTGCAGAGTAGTCAATTATCAATATTATCAATCAAAATCCCTAATTCCCAATTCTCTCTCTCTCTTGTTCTTCCCCAATTCTTCTCAAATCCCTAATTTCTTCTCTTCTCAATCCCTAATTCCCTTGTGGAACTTCTTTGTTTCTAACATCGTTTTCCAATTAGGTTCTTTACCTGAAGCTGCTAACTAATTGGTGATGCGATAGAAGGAAGAAAGAAAAGCAGAAGATAAGGGTAAGGGCTAACCCTTTGTCATATTAAATGACACTAATACTATTGAATAAGACATAATTAGCACCCAAGAAAAGAAAACTTGTAAAGCTCCTCTTCTTGACCAGTTCCTTCATGCATTGCAATCTCTAACCTCGTGGGTAAGAGATTCCACTAATTCTTCTGAAAACTGAGGGCTTGTTTGTTTGATGGATTTGGTGATGGATTTGGTGAAGGATTTGGATCCATCATGGACTTTGTCCAAAATCCATTGTTTGCTTCATGCATTTAGGGAAAACAAATCCGTGGGTCCCACAAACTTTAAGGGACCAAATCCGTGGACCCCACGGACTTGAAAGTTCCACCTATTTAGGTGGGAATTGATTATGGACTTTGAAGTCCATCATTTTTTACCAACATACCCTTCATATTTGCTTTCTCTTCTTATATCATTAAGGGCAATAAAGGTAAATTACACTTCATACATACAAATTTAATTAACAAAATCCATCATGAAATCTATCAAACAAACAATGGTGTTTATCAAATCCATAATGAACCTAAAACCCTCATTTATCCATGGTTTTTCAAAACCCAAGTTATACCAAAACCTTCATTTTTCAAATCCACGACGCAAACGAGCCCTGAGTCCACAATATTGACACAAGTTTTGCTGAGTGATATTGGTCTCATTATGCTGACTGTGATGGGAATGGGATGGGGCTGACAGATTCCTCAGTATCTGTATTCGTGTATGTCCACCGCGCGGCTTATGTGTCTTAATTGTACATGGGCACGGGACGTGCCGCCCACGGACTAGCACGGCATGACACGACACGGTTAGAGCACGGCACGAGCACGGGCACTAAATAAATGGGCCAGCCCGGCACGAGCACGAATAATTTATGGGCCGTGCCGGGCCTAAACTTCATGGGCACGGGCACGGGCACGGGCACGGCACGGTATATAAGTGGGCCGTGTTGGGCCTAATATTTTGAGACTTTATTGAGCATAAGAACGGACATGGCACGAATATAATATTTCTTTGATAGAAAATAAGTATAAAAAGAATTATAGGTTCAAATATTACAAAACACAAGTAGAAATATAATTATTTGTTGTTGTTAGAAGTGTCATAAAGATATATACGTAATTACTAACATAAGTAAAAAAGAACAAAGAATTAAACAAATCCAAATCACACTCGCTATACTTCCAATTTTCTTTTTCCCCTATTTGTTACTTTTCTCAAACATTATCGGTTAATACTATCTTCCCCGTCCAATTTTTACCTTCTTTTTCATTCTCTCTTTTGTTTTCGTCCTTTTCATTAAACACGAATACGAGCATGGCACGAGCACGAATAGGCACGGCACGATTCGAACCGTGCTTAGGCCTGGGCCGGGCCTAGCAAAGTTGACAAATGGGCTTGCATGGCAGGACACGAAAACTGACGGGCTGTGTCAAGCACGGCACGACATAAATGGGCCCGAAGCGTGCCCGTGTCGTGCCGGTCCAAGCACGGCCCAGCGCCCATGTACAGTCTTAATGCTCAAATAGTTTGATCCGGTCTCAGGGCCGGCCTAGAGGGTGTGGCCCTCCAACACATGGCCTCCGAATATTAGGGACCTCCACTTAGTTATTGGTTAATAATCTCATGTATATACACTAGACACGTATATTGATGATTAAAGTATTGTTTATGTTTCAAAAATTCTATTTGTATTTACAATGCTACCAAAAAAAAAAAACATCTTAATGAAATATCTATGATAACAATTGAAAATGATCTCATGAAGACTACAAAAAATAGAGATAATATATAATTGTTTTTAAACAATATAGAAAGATATTACATTTCGAATAATAATATTATAATCATTTTAATTTTATTATACTTAAAACTAATATATGCCACATCTCGATATTGGAATAGGGCATCCACAATTCACTGGACGGCCCTGTCCGGTCTAACTGTATTAGTCAAACCATTTGATCTTGTAATTACACTATTGTTAAAATATGGCTTAAAAGTCAAAAGATGCCAAATATGATAAATAAGTAAATAACTACCAGTGGGAAAAGTCATCTCTTTCCATCCTAATCGACGAGGTTCTTGAATTTAACGAGTTGGAGGCAAGTCGAGGAGGACAATCTAGTTACCTACCTTGTAAGAGAAGCTTGTCCAGTTTGGTGAAGGACTGTCATTCTTGAATCTTCAGCTTGATCAAGTTATGAAATCATCTCTCTTATTTATTTATTTATTTATTTATTTATTTATTTATCTAATAATAATTGTTTTAGACCACCTGTGATGTGAAGCTGTCAATTTGTGTAGAGAAAAGTGTAATAGAACTTGTATGAACAACAACAAAAGTGTATTTGCTATCATGACTTCAAGGCACCCTGAAGAACTCTTTTTCTTTTCTTTTCCCTTTAGTTCTTCACTCTGTTTTTCCCCTCATAATTTGTGTTAAAGTTCATTAAATTAAATATATATAGACACACACCACACAGCTTAAAGGAAGTGTAAGAAGAACCTCAGTTCCTTCTTCTCCAAGCACTTGCCTCTCTCCTTCCCTACCCCTTTTCTAGCACTCTCACGAATCTCTCTCTCTCTCTCTCTCTGCTCTGTTCTTCCGCCATGGAAACAACTAATCAGGACTTCTCTGACTCTGAAACTCAAATCGACCCTCTTTCTTCTTTTTCCTTCTCTACTTCTTCTACTACTACCTCTTCTTCTTCTTCACCGTCATCTCCTTCCTCGAACGACTCCAATTTCTCTCCTTCCCCATCTTCAGATCACAATAGCAAGTCCCACAAGCGCAGTCACGAAAACAACTACGGCGATTCGACAGCTGCGGCCAACGAAGAAGTCAGGGGCGGCCGCACCAGCAAGAAGGCCAAGACAGGGGATCACCACGCGAATGCAGCAGACCCATCCTACCGAGGAGTGAGAATGCGGCAATGGGGGAAATGGGTGTCGGAGATTCGAGAGCCCAGGAAGAAATCAAGAATCTGGCTCGGGACCTTCGCCACGGCCGAAATGGCGGCTCGAGCCCACGACGTGGCTGCTCTGGCCATCAAGGGTGAATCGGCTCACCTCAATTTCCCCCGGCTGGCTCACTTGCTTCCCCGCCCTGCTTCCGCTTCCCCGAAAGACGTCCAAGCAGCCGCCGCATTGGCAGCCAACTTGGACGTCAAGGAAGCAGACCGCGTCGGGGAGAGCAATGGCGCCGATCACGACGACGATCAGCTGCCAGAGTCTGTCGTCGAGGATGATGGCGACGACGATACGTTCGTCGATTTGCCGGATCTCTCGCAGGACGCGATCGACCGCGAGGTCTGCGTCTTGTCGATGAGCTACTGGCGGATGTTTGATGCAGAGGGTTTGGGTTCGGGATCGTTCTGGGAAGCAGAGGAATCAAGTTTGCAGCTGCCATTCTTTGGTTCCAGGTGATAGAAAAAAATTTGTGTAAATTAAAATGAGTGGAGAGTGAGCCCAAAAATAAAATAAATTAATCCGTTTGACATGACTATGTAACTAAGTTATATATATCAAATCGCATTCCGTTGTCTACAAAACTGTATCGTCATCTGTAAATATTTGATTTTGACGTTTACGGATGTTACTTATTAAGTTTACAAACGGCGTGGAGTTTTGTATGCTAGGGAAACTAATGGTGTGACGTTGATGCATCCAATAATGTTTATTACCAATATAATCAAGTTAAACATTTTGAGTGAGTTGCTGATTTGATTGTATAGAGTTGTAACGGTAAATAAACAAGCGTAGATGGTAAGTTCATGATGGTGAAATCTGATTTTTTCAAGGGTAAAGGTAAAGTTAGTTTTCCAAATCTCTATTTATTCTTCTTTTTTAGAAACAATTATATCCACCTATGATAGTGGATTGCGAATATATCCATATCTGGCAATATAACTACTCTTTTGAATGCTTGCGCATCATTCCTTCCAATGCTGACCATTGTGGAATTGTCTTGATTTCGGATGGCATATTTCGCACATTGGTAAACAAATGTGATATCCAATGGTGTCATGCTTGATTTGGCCACCTCGGTTGATAATAGGGTCACCGGATCGGTCATGTGGATCGAAGTCAGACTCGACTATTTGAGTTGCTATCAGTTTGATGCAACGTTGAAAAGAATCATGGATCTAGTATAAGACAAAAGGATAAATATTGTAGCAAATATAATTAACATACATTTCCAGCAGTTCAGTCAACATGTGTGTTTCGAAGGTGGAGTGTTGTGTTAGATGACATCATCAAAATGCTTTGTCCAACAATCTCGGTCATTTGTAAATAATGCTAACATGTTAATATAATAGTAGAGACCGTGCAATCGAATCACAACAACCATGTGATGACGTCTACTATATCAGCGAGATAACCGAGTTTTACATGCAGCCAGTCCATTCAATCTCTATTTACCTAGTCAAGACAATGAGTCATGATTCAGCCGGTTGGTTTGACGCCTCTGGCCGATTTGGGTTTTGAACAGCCCTGGTGATGTCATAAAGGAAACAAAGAGAGAGTGCCTATTATTATAACACGGCTAGAGTTGTGTTGGGAAGGAAGCAAGAAGAATCTGTTTTCTATACTTTACCTAATGGAATAAGATGGGGAAAGCAAAGCACTTTGTCAAGTGCTCCCCATTTTTTCCTAATAGTTTGTGGGAAAAAAGAAAACGGAAAGGAAAAAGAGGATACCTTTATTGATGTGGTATTTATTGGCTGAGTTTTGGGATGTGTTGTAGGTTTCCTTACCTCGCACTTCTTTTGGGCTAAATGTGGAGGAGATATATTAGAAATGTCTCTTCACTAGGACACCAACATGTACAAATTTTTTTATTTTTTACAAAACAATGTTAATTGGGTCAAAAGAACACAGTAACAAGTTAGTGTAATTCAACCAAGCTGTCCTTTCTTTTCATCATTGCATAGTTGTGTCGAAGGGAAGCTTAGGTCAATCCGAAACCAGTCGTGCAAAATTCTTATCAATTCAGTTTTCATAATTGAAGTCCCTTTCAAATTGAAAGTGCTAAGGAACTAGTTGTTATCCCCTCAAATGCTCATTTTTACGTTGTTTGTCAAGTGGAGAAGCACATAGTAATTAAAGTGTTAATGCTGATCCGACCCAAAGTAAGACCTATCGTCAAATCAAACATTACGACCTTTGTCTAATAGGTCCTTCAGAGTGTTCCTTTTTTCCGCATTATTTAGTTTTAACACCAGTTCAACCGGATGAAGTTAAAACACCTAGATTTGAAAATAAATTTGTGCAACATTCTCGAGTATATCACAACAGTCACGAGTCTGACTTGTAGGATAAGCTCTCATGACTTTCTCCACACGCTCCAATATGTAATACGAGATAATCTAGTCAATGATTCGACCTCAGTACCCAAATATGCAACAAACTAGCTAATACATCATCAAACTCATTTTGAAGCATCAACTAACAAATACTCATACAGGCGAACCTAATCGGACATAGAATTTCTATCTCATGAGTCACGAGCCACCATATATATACTTTATCAACTTGATATTTGTAGTTTGCAACACTTGTCAAATTTGATACCGATAAGAAACTGTGTATTAATTTAACAACTAGATCTTCACCAATTAAGAAGAGTGGAGATCGAGGAGCTCTCAGTGAAACCCTAAGACGGTCGACAAGAGTGTCATGCATTGTCCTGGCCGGGATACGTGATTTGAGTCCTTCCTTACCTTCCTTCCTTGGTCGTCCTTTCCCATCGTTTCTGCGGGGACCTTTGCTTTCTTGTGGCCTTTGCAGCCCTAATTCAATGCATTGCCTGCCAATCGACGAATGACAAGTCTGAATCTTTTCTACCACAAATTCCAGTTACTTACCAGCTTATGACTGTTCATTTCTACGTACTCTCAAAACCAAAGCATTTATGTTTAAGCTGTTATAGTAGGTAGATACCTCATAACTGTTCACTGTACTCTGTACTATACATATACCACCGTCGACATATATGTATACATGATTCCGACTTGGAAGTATCGACCAATGGATCAACTTCTTGTATTCGGCCACGTGCGCAGATGTGATCGATAAGCTATCCTTTGGTTATCGACATGTGCTCCTATACATACTGTACGTAGCAGGGGCAGGGAAGGCAAGTTGAGAGGGACGTTCAATAACTAGGGTTTCAGAATGTGTTGTGGAGGGAGGGAGACTGCCATGCCATGGGTCTTGAGATTTGGTGGTACGAAAATGAGTCTGATGGTCGTGGCGTTTTGAGTGATGAAAGAAATTAAGAATCATTCCGATCAATAAGCGCTTAGGTGATTTGTTTTTTAGAAACTCTACCTTACCTATCACTTTAACCGAAATACTGAATATCGGTTCTGAATGGTAGGCGATTTTAGCGGTACGAAACGATTGAAACACAAGTAAACAACGTTTTTATTATGAAATATACCCTATCATTGATTTTTATGGTATAATTTTTGGTACGGTTTCAAAATTTGTTTTTTCCTATGGTCTGGCATTATTAAATCAACAAACCCTCCAGTGATGGCAATAGGGTGGGGTGGGGCGGGTAACTCAATACCCATGGCCCGGTCCACGCTACTGTGGGTCAGGGCGGGTAAAACTCGCACGGGTACAGGGCGGGGCTGGTTGACCCATTCTTACATGTTATTTGAAAAAAATACACGTAAATTTTAATTTTTACGATAAAACGAAGGGAGAACATTTTATGAATGAAAAATAGTGATAATAGAATGGGTAATTGAGTCTAACAAGTTGAAAGATCGACTCTAACTAGTTGAAAAATGTTAAAAATATGAGAAATATGTATAAATAGTATAAGAAATTTAGATATAATGGACCAAGAATGGGACAAGACAAGCAGGACGCGGCGAAAGTAGATACTCATGTCCCGCCCCACTTTACTGTCAGTTGGGTAATGCCCGCCCATCTCAAATCAGGTTGAATAATGCTCGCGGGCGGGTTCAAATTGCCATCAATACCTACCGTACCGATTACAAAAGCGCATACAGGATAGGTACTCGCCTATATATATATACTGACATATAATATGTGTATATATATTATTATAGGATTGCCATATTTTGAAGCTTAGTACTAAGTACTATTTACCCACTTAATTTTTTTTATGAGCCATGAAAGGAGCAATACTGCAAAGAAGGGTAAATTATTGCTTTACAAATTTTTTTGATAGTGACCTATAAGAGGATTTCAAGGGGATTGGGGGACATAACGTAACTGTTGTGAAAGTGAAAAGATAAAGCCCATATGAAGGGGTTTTGTTTTTGTGTTATTAGGAGAGATTGAGAGGATTTCCATTGTCCAATCATTTGTAAGATCTTTTTTTTAAAATCAACTTGATGATATTGTTCTTTGTCTCTTTGATATATATAAGCTTTGCAATTTTATATAAATATGGAGATGGCAAATGGTCTCAATCACACTTTTTAGTGCATGAAACACGCCTAAATCACTATATAATTATTATAATTTTTCCACAAAATATTTTGTTATGTACGAGGAGCAAATCAGCATGTACTGATGTTGATTCATTATTACTCCTGTGCAGTTTTAATTTCAGGATTTTTTTTTCCGGTAATTTTAATTTCAGGATTTGAATTTACCGCTTTGATTTATTTATAAAATTGTTGTTTTGATTTCATTATGCCTGTATAAATCTGAATGCAATTTCTTACCATTTAGGGTTGTCGATATTCAAACTTAGGTCACTTGATCATAAAATTTTCGATATCATATCAATAACTAGCTACTTCAAAAGACTCGAATTGTTAAAAATATTTAATTATAAATCTTTTAACCATTCAATTCATTGATTTCAACATGTGTTGCGTTGTGATCATATCATGGATTAATAATTACATAATCGATGAGATTGGTGTGTAATGTGGTCGAATTATCATGATTGAGTAAAATGCATTTAGAAAATTAAAAAGAACTATACATACGTAGGTATTTGTTTAATATGGATAGGTTAAGAATTTAGTATACGAACGCAAATAGATGGTGCCATATCAATCAGGTATCATTGAAAATACTTAATTTTCTAATCCATAATAATAATAATAAAATATCATTCTACTAGATATGTACAAAAAATACATATTTAAGAAGACCTTTTAGTCCAATTATATTAAGATAAAAAATGCTTATCAAATATATTTTTGTAATGTAATTGTACGTGTTAGTTTATTTGCTTATGAGACTACAACTTTTTTAGCTAGGAGGTCACTTTTCGAATAATTTGAAGAATGACTACTCGATTGGATATATATATATATATATGTATGGTGTCTTCTACGGTACTCCGGGTGAAATCCGGGGTACTGCATACTTTGAGTATGAAAACGCTATTTAGACTTCGAATTAGCAGGATTTTTGGGCATGATACT